TCCAAACATCCAACCCCGCCCCTTTATCCCCACTCCACCCCCCATCCCCGACCCACCCCGCCAAATCAACCAGCGGCACCATACTCGGCCGACCATGCGCACACCTGAATGGAAACACGCATTCCGCCAACCGACGAACAAGCTCCCCGCACTGCCCCACGCTCAATTCATCGTTGAACATAATGGCAGACCGGCAGGCGCGCGAATTGAGCATGTCGATGAGGCCGGGGGGACAGGTTGATAGATGGCGGGGCCATTGTGTCTTGGGGTCCATGGTAGAGGAGGAAGAGGAGGAAGAGGGCATCGGAGTCAAGTCAGGGACATGTCCATCCTCGACGTACTTCCACACTGTTGAGCGGAGAAGCGTGATGAGCAGCTTTGGGTCGGATTTACATCGTTCGGCGATGGCGGGGGGCAGCGTGGTGACGGAGAGTAGACACGGGAGTTTGGCCTTGTTGGGCAAAGAGGCACTCGGTGCTGTGTTGTCGGGCAAGTCGAAGAGGATGCCCCAAGTTGCGAAGCGTGAGGCGTACGTGGTGAAATACGTGCGTTCCATCTGGGAGATTGTGTATTGCACTGGCTTCTCGAGGTGTGTGCATGTGACGTGAGATTTGTGGCCGAGTTTGGATTGGTAGCCGGCCGAAGGGGTCTGGTTGTTGGCTGGGGTGCAAAGTCCACGCAAGAGGTCTTCGACTTGGATGCGTTCGTCTGCGGCGTGTTGGTCAATGAGGACCAGTAGTTCTGTAGCCTGTGTATTTGGAGCTACTGCGGCGGGTGAAGACTTCATCTTTACAAGAATGAATTTCTTGTCAACCTGGGAGATAACTTGTGCATGCTGCAGACCATACCTGGACAGCTTGCCAGACTTTGTATCCGCGGCGACTTGGCTGAAAGCCTTGTCAATATCAATGCGCGAGCACCTGTGCCTGGAATGGCTGTAGCCACTGTGTTCGAGTCCTGGCTCGTGCAGGTCGACTTGCTGGATACGCCTCTCGCTGACGTTAAAAACTGGATTCTCCCAATTTTGCAATATATTTGTCAGCCATGCAGTTTCTGCGATTGCCGCTGTTGGAGGCCTTTGTGGAAGTCGCAGCGATTTGTTCATGGTCTTTTGAGATAGGACAAGGTCTTTGGAGGCGGGAGTAGTGTTTGGCTGTGACGGCAGGTCTGATACTACACAGCCCGTACGAGCGTTTAGTAAGCACGTCTTCTTAGTCACCGGATCAGTCCATAGTATCGTATCATCTTTCGCATTCTGCAGCGTCTGGACTTCTGAAGTCGTGTTTTCAGAAGCAGAATGTGCTCCTTGCATACTGAGAGCGCCTTGCTGGACATGCTCAACATCCAAGTTCGCAAACCTCTGAGCAGCCGTGAAACTGCTTTGTGGTGTCTCTGGACCAGCTGCAAGCTTTGAGGAAGCAGACGGTGTCTTTAATCTGGCCAATTGAGGCACCTTTTTATGGAAGTCGGAATTTCCACTCTTGATGCGAGACCAGTCGGCGAAGACTTGACTGTCAGTTTTATCTGATATGACATGCGAACGGGGGCGTTTAGATTGAGTCTTCTTGCGAGACTTGGAACTAGTATGAGACCGATCTATGCGCGGCTGTAGCAATACTGACAGCGGTCCCGTAGTTGGAGTACCGTTCTCTCTGGAACTATCGAGTGTTGAAGATGTGGTATCAGACCTGCCACGCTTTTTTCGACGCTGCTGTGGGCAAAAGTGATGTGCTGAAAGCCAGTGTGTGATCATGGCTTCCAGAACCTCTAATACATCTTGTAATGTGCTTTCGTCACCAAGCTGATCTGCAGCGGAATCCGGGGAGACTTGCTTCATAGTAATGCGCAAATGAAACATGGGATGTCTGTCGACACCTTTTCGAGACTGCAATTGGCGATTTGTGTACCCATCGCTCTTGAACCTCTGGTCCGTTCGCCGACGTGTCTTCTCGAGCTCGTCCATTTCCCCGTCGTCTTGATTGACGCCAAAGCTAGATAGCGAGAACAGTCGGTTGATTTCGTGAAAAACCTCGTTATTTCCGTGCTCTGCCAGTATAGGTTGTATACCCAGCGACAAGAACTGGACATGCTTGCTGGGTGCTGGTACGAGAGATATGGCACCTTTGACAGACAGGGCTGATGTGGATGCTGACACTGGTATCCAACTTGGCCATTCGTCTACTGCGATGCAGTCGGCCTGTGTCAAGACGTTGAGCATAGGAGTAAGGCGTACAGGAGGTTGCCTACTGTTGTGGTCACACTTGTCACCTGTAGGCTTGGGCGAATTGGACGTGTTGAGGTTGATAATTGCTCTGCCATCGCCATTGCGAATCTTTACCGAAACGGAACCCTGCCAGCTCAGAAATAGTGCCACGATGTCTCGCTTCAACGCGTCCCAGAGTCGGTCTTGTTCGGCTTTTTGATCCAACGCTGCTGACCGTTGCTTTACACGGACAGGCAGGTTTCCAAACAGGTTGCGCACAGTCACTCGTGTGCCATGCTTGCTGTGTACCTGTTTGTTGGCAGGGGCTGGCAGCTGTCGCTCGACAGGTTTGGAGTGGTGAAATGTTATGGAATTGTGCGAAAGGTACTCTTTGTGATGTGAGGTGATGGTCAAGAGGGACATGGCAGCCAGGGAGGCGAGGAAGGTGCCATTGCGGCCGAGTTGTGCTTCCTGAGCGGCGTATTTGGACGTGTCTGTCTCTATCAGTGATTATTCCGTGTTGACGATGGACAGGGTTGTCTGATGCCATACAATAGAGCTTACCCAGACCTCCCTGGTGACGGAATTCGATTGGCGGTATTCCAACTCCATCGTCTTCCACTGTACATCCGCCTCGTGCAAAGTCGACTGCGGCTTCAATTCTGGTAGCTTTGGCGTCGAGGGCGTTCTTGAGCAGTTCCAGGACGACATGGCTTACCGAGACTATGGCTGTCGACGACTTGACCTGGGCAGCGACATCGTCTGGGAGCGGTAGAATGCATCTGGCGGAGTGTGTATCTGTCTCTGCAACCGTGTATTTTCCGTTTCCGTTTTCTTTTTCTTTTTCTGAAGCAAGTTGAACACTGTGACTCCGGGTCATGACGTAGTGGCTGTCGGCTGCAAATGTCAATCCAGCCGGTCGCCCGCTAATGGCCCGCGACGGGAACAGGGCATGTTTTTGGAGCGCACAGAGGGGTTTAGTGGCTGTGGGGAGAGTTTGGGGGGGGAGCGAGATAGGGTGGTTGATGCATGCACTCGTAGAGTACAATGTCATGTAGGACGGGCCGTCTTGGTCTTGTTCAGATCTGCGACTGATGAAGGACAGGAGGGGCAAGGGTGTGATGTGATGTGATGGATGACTGTACTGTGAATGTTACCGCGTATGTTACCGCGTATTGTAAGATTTGTCATCGAGGCCAAGACCAGGCGTCCATCTCAACCGAAAGAGGAACACAACACGACATTCATCCCCCATTGCCCCATCCCATGTCCCATCATTGCCCCATGGCCCATCATTGCCCCATGGCCCATCATTGCCCCATGCCCCCCTTCCCCGTCCGTGGCTATAGATAGCAAGCCTCCGACACCTTGCCCTTTACCGCTGACTTGCCCCCATCACCCCAAAAAACCCAACACAGTGGTTACATCCTGTTACCTATCCTACCTAGCAGACATCGCAGTCTCGCAATTCCAATTCGCAAGTCGGATTTGGGTTGCCATTCATTCATCGTCAGCCGCGCGCCCCGTCCATTCTCTCTGCCTGGCTCCCTGGACAGTTGACACCACGTGGCTTGCGGTGAATCTTGGACCAGCGCACCGAAACCCACCCGGACCTCTTTTTCGCAGCCCGCAAGCCTTATCCCGCTGGCCGTCGATATTCGAGCGCCGCCTTATAATAGAATTATAGGTTGAGCGACCATGGCCACCACGGCCGAAGCTGCGGCGTCGAGGCCCCATGGTACGTCCGCCCTAGCACTGCCTACCTGCGTCTGTCCTGTCTGCTTGTCTTTTGGCTTGCCTACCTGCCTTATCCGCCTACCTGTCTGTCTGCACAGCCATTGCCTCTCGCTCGCTCCCCCCTCCTCAGCCTCTCTGGCCCATAACGTTTGCCCGCCGCCGCCGCATCGCATCACATCGCGCCACCTTGTCCCGCCCCCTCCCGTCCCCTCCGTGACTGCACATGACTAGGCCCTTCACCAGCATGCTGACGAGTGCTCCCAAAGACCGCAATGCGCGCAAGCGACCCTTTGCGGGCTGGATGAAGCGCCTCGCCAACCTCAAACCCTCATCATCCGATACGCCCAGCAAGAAGAGCAGCGCGGCAAAGAAGGCGGCAGCAAAGAACAACCCTTACCCCGAGTCAGGCACCGTTAACGCCCGTACGGCTGACCACGTCTCATCGTCGACGACACCCGGTACGCCACGCTCCAACGGCAGCTTCACGTCGGTCGAGGAGAGCGCGGCAGGACAGCGCAAGGCCCTGGCCAAGAGCAACAAGAGTACTGCGCCCACGGTGGCCACGAATCCCGAGACGGTCAACTCGACGCGCTCCAAGGCAGAAACGGGGACCAGCAACTTTGCCACCGGTGGCAGCACCTTTTCCTCGCCGCATGGCTCTGAGCAGTCCCTCAGCACTACCCTGACCACCATCCAGTCTAGCGCGCCCTCCAACGTGCTCAATGGCGCCCACAACAACAATAACAACAATGCGACTGCTTTGAACGGCACGCCCATTGTCTTTACACACCAATTCCCCACCTCCCCACCCCCCTCGGCCATCCCGCCACATCTCGCCCCTGCCACGCAGCAGCCCAACTCGTACCAGGGCGCCACGGCAAACAACATCCTTACAGACAACGCCTCCATCCTAACGCTCGCCTCGTCGTCAAAACGGCGTCGTCGCAACTCGGTCGACACCAATGCTTCGATGCGCGCCCTTGCGCCTTCCTCTCACTACGGCGGCAGTCGCGAATCCCTCCCGCTCAGCGTCCTCTCCGCAAATCCCGACTCGATCTACTCGCCTGCCACACGGGCGACCACCAACGTGGGCAGTCTCGCCAACGCCGAGCGCGCAAGCGTCTACTCGGCTTCGGGCGTCACCGCCCCGGTCCTGCCCAGCGAACGCAACAGCTACTACGCGAACAAGCCGACGGATGGCCTGAGCGTCCGCAGTGGACTGCTGGGACATGGGCGTACTGACAGTATCAGTAGTATTCGTGCGACGCCCACGAGTCCACTGGCGAGCCCGAGGGATCCCATGGGGCCCGGGAGGATCGGTCGCAAGAGCTTCGAATGGGGTCAGGCGAGGGAGGCAAGTGACGAGGAGGACACAAACACCACGGCTGGTGCCAAGGCAGGAATCGAGGACACGGGCAAGGACAAGGACAAGGAAAAAGACACGGGCGCAAGTCTTGAAAGATGAAGGAGTACGAAGCCTGTGGGATTTGGATGGTGTGTACTGTACATGAGCGTTCTTGTAGATTGGGATGGGGACTGGAATTTGGGGCAACCGGCGTTCTCTGGTTGAAGAGCATGCTCACGGCGTTGATTTTTGATTCGCCCTTATACCTGGGTCTTGGGATTGGATCAATGGGGCAACCGAGGGCTGGGGAAAGCCGGGGGAGGTTGTGATTGAGAAGGCTAGCGATGGTGGGCCGAGCAGTGTGTCTATGCGTCCACCGTTTTTTGTACTACTCTCTTCGCAAGCATGGACAGGAAGAGCAAGAAGAATGACAATCGCCCTCCATTGACAGGCGTACTCATCCCTATTGCTATTTTTCGTTTCTCTTGTATTGTTTAGGGGAAGCTGGGTCCTTTTTTGCATGTTGTTGAGATGTTGTTTGGAATGGGGAGAGTGGCAGATGGCTGGCGTACCGTACTCGTGGCTATTTTTGAGTGATGGGCTAGCTGATGATGTCTTTCACTGTTGGCAAAGAACCGGCCGTTGGCGTTGGCCAAGTCTTCGAAGCCCAGGCAACAAGACTGTTCTAGATGGATGGTTGATAGAGTAAACGTTGGACTTGGTTGCATCCCGACCCATTCAACATGCACCTGCATGCTTTGACTCTCCCGATCGATATGGCACACTATACTTTCGAGTCCTTGTCTCGTTATCCACTCATTCCCGCCCACAATCCAACCCACTGAACTCCTAGGAGTCCTCCCCTCCCCACCCGCCATCCCCGTCACCAATCCACCAACGGCTCGCGCCGCATCCCAACTGTCCTCCCCTTCCTCAAACCCTTCCTCAAACACGCTCTCTCTCGCTCGTGTCCGCCAACTCACGCCGCATCCATGCCACCCCTCCACCCCTCCCATCCGGTGTCGTCTAAACCCAAGGCAGCAAATCAGCAATGCCAACTCCACCTACTTTCACCAATCACACGCCGCTACGTTGAGTGACGGCCACGGTAAGACCGATGTACATGCAACTTGCATGCGTTGGTAGGCACAGCTGCATCCCCGGCCAGCAGTTAGCAAGTTAGCCGTTAGCCAGCCAGCCAGACCACCAGCCAGACTGGCCCACTCACTCTTCCCACTTCTGCCCTTGATGCCCAAGGAAAAATAAAACAACGCGTCCGCTTTTCTTGGGCCTTTAAGATGTAGGCGGATCCCCGGATTTGTTACTTTGCTTTTTGTTTTTTTTTGCTGTTTTGCTTTTTGGGTTGATCATCAGCATCCTCGTCATCCTCGTCCTTGTTGTTCTTGTCGTGGATTCCTTGTAGAGAAAGAGAGAGAGAGAGAGAGAGAGAGAGAGTGTGTGTGTGTATGTTGTGATTCTGAAAGGATGGCTGATTCGGCTACTGCCCCGCCCCCGCCTCCGCCTCCTCCGACCGCTGCTGCTGCTGCTCCTCCACCACCACCTCCGCCTACCATGGTGCTGCCGACGTCATATCGGGAGAGATTGGCGCAGTTTAGGATTCTGGAGGAGAAGAGGTTGGAACTTATCGAGGTAAGGCAACAACAAATACCTGTAAACACAACAACTACGGTACCCGTAGCCTGTGCCATGGAATGATGATCAAAGACAAAATGAACATGGCGGGTTGACGTTTGGCACGCGTGCACAGGAACTCCTCGAGAAACTGGAGAAGACGGAATCCCGTCTTTCACAAACCGAACTCGACCTCAACTCGGAGCAGAGCGTGCGGCGGACGCTGCAGGCCGAGGTCGCAGACACGAGACATAAGCTATATGGCGAGCTAGCAGACACACGGCGGAAGCTGGAGACGGAGCTGGAGGAGACCAAGACCAAGTTGGGCACCGAGTTGGCGGAAACCAAGACCAAGTTGGAGACGGAGCTGGCCGAGACGAAGAAGACGTTGGAGGCCGAGGTGGAGGAGGCGAAGAAGAAGGAGGCGGCCCTGGTCCAGCAGCAGGTTTGTCGACATCCAGACAAAACACCACAAGTCTAACAGCCAGCTAACAAGTTGCAGTCACAACGACCCTTTGTAATGGTCCTCATCGATGCCGACGCCGAAGGCTTCCTCGTAAGTCCCACCCACCTCCCCAAGACAGCCTACTAATCCCAATCCCCAGTTCCGAGACAAATACATCACGGCGAAAGCCCAAGGCGGCGAAGCCCTAGCCGACGAGCTCCTCATCCGAATACGAGAGTATCTGCGCCCCCAGTTTGAAGACGCCGACGCACTGGATATTGTTGTCCGCGTCTATGCCAATCTCGAGGGCATGGCAAACTACCTTGTTCGACTGGACAAGGTCCGCAATCTCGGACAGCTGAGAGCCTTTTCCACAGGCTTTTGCGGCCGGATATCGAGCTTTGATTGGATTGATACGGGTGTGGGTAAGGAAGGCGGGTCGGGGAGGAAAGTTCGAGGTTCGTTGTCCTACTCATGCATCCCATCCAACATGCTGACCACGTATCCAACACAGAAAACCTCTCCTTCTACACCTCAAACACCCACCTCCGCCACATCATCGTCGGCTGCTCCGCCATCGACCTCCCCGCCTCCCTCCTAACCGCCCTTCCCCTCTCCAAAATCACCCTCATCGAAACACTCCCCCTTCCCGCCTCCCTCACCTCCCTCCCCCTCAAAATAACCCGCTTCGCCTCCCTCTTCGCCCCGCCACCGCCCCCGAAATCACCCAAGCCCCGCGGCCGCAACAGTGCCCAGTTGCAACTCATGCAGCACGAGGAAGACGGCGTTGGCGGCGGTGGTGGCGGCGGCGGTGGTGCCACCTGGCTTGTTATCCAGCCTGAGCGCAGTAAGAGTCAGAATATGGGGGTTGGACGGCGGAGAGGTGGGAGTAGCAATTGAAACCAGATACAATTAACTGTTGT